CGCCTCCAAGGGCAACTCCACCCCCTTCCAACCGCCGGCGCCGCCGGCCGGCCACGCCCCCGGCCACGCCCCCGGCGCCACGCCCGCAGGCCACGCCCGCCTGCCCGTGCTCCTCGCAGGTGCTGCGGCCTGCCGCCCGCCCTGGCCTCCTTGGCTTCAGCGCGACTCGCAGCCTTGGCCAAATTTCATCTCGGTTCTTCTTCTCGCCACCCCTCCCGGTTGTTTTCATCATAACAATGTCTGGTACATTTTCCCTGGTGCGTTTAAAAGCAACGGTCAGTGCTGATAATGAGTCACCCTGTGAAACTGTCTACTCAGCTGCGTCTTCCCCAAGCCAGTCCCACCTGCGCAGCAGCGGGGACGAAGACATTCCTTGATTTACACCTTATGTAAAAATCACTAACGAACTTACTACTGTGGGGTGGGGATCGTGGACAACTGAGCAAGGAGCGCGGTGGGGGTGGGGGTATTAGCAGAAAGGTAAAGAGTTACTACTATTTTCAAAGTTCAAAACAAACAAAAACCCCAGTTCTCTTCGTAGTGGCTTTGAGACCTGCAAGAGACCACTTACTGCAAAAATGTATTCAAAACCATGCATTAAAGGATTCCTTAAAGTCATTCAATCCTATTCTACTGCATTCCAAAAATTTAACAAATTTCTTCTACAACCACTCTTTTGCTAAACATTAAATTAGACCTGGTTCTTTGCTTCTTAGAAGACTGCAACCCAGTAATCCTACGGTGGCAGGCAAATCCGTGTGGTCTCCACCAGTAAAACAAAAGTCAAAGCGAACATCCCAAAGGTAATCAGCAAAAGGTGGCTTCAATTTGTGCATAAGAGGGAAAGGTGTTGCAATTACATCATCTTTGCTTCTGCAGAAGTGAGAGCAGTGGGGGCTAGGGAACTGACAGTTGGGGGGGGGCGATTAATGCAAAGTTATTTGTTTGATCTCTTGTTGACAGGACTAACCTTCCTTATCACCAGAGGGACAGACTGTGGAAATGGTTCTAGTGGCCAACAAACCCAACAACCACCGGTCCAGCAACCATACAGGTGTTCAAAGATCTATTTCAAATGTGATTACACCAAACAAGTAGACAAAGACAGCTTTTAAAAATATCCAATTTATCATAAAACTTATGTAGAGTGGACATAACATTTAAAAAATACCACTGTTAATATTACAGCAGGAGCAATACATTTTCTCAAACAGCTTTCAATGACATTTTTATCATCCTTATAAGAACCTAAAATATATATGCCAATTTCCATGCTAGGATCAACTTCAATAAGTCACAGCAATCACAATGGGCACATTGGTCAAATGACTTTAGAGCGGAAGGATTACTTTCAAATCTTTCATCTTAGAGACAAAACAGATGAATTTGTGAAAAGTCGCCCTATTTCAAGTGCATGTAAAACATGTAATGGAAAATGTATATATATACACACACACACACATACACACATATATGTATATGTATACATATATGTATATGCACTCGTATATGTATGTATATGTACGCATATGTATATACATATATGTGTGTATATACACATATATGTGTATATATATATGTGTGTGTGTATGTGTGTGTGTGTGTATATATATATACACACACACATACATACCACTTACTGAAGGTCCAGGGGGACTTAAATGTGATTGGTGGTCAATAGTAAGTGGGGTTAATCAGCATTCCCTGAGGAAATGAGCTTGAGGATGGATATTAGGAAGGCTTCTATTAGCAATGGAAGAGGGATGATGAACATGCTAGAGCAGTATTTGAACACGGATGTAGAGGTGGCATTGCCACAATCCGAACCACAAATGGTGGGCTTGGGGGTAACAAAGAATTACAACCTTGGTAAGGAAATCTGTGCCTTGTGTACCCAGAGGTAGCACAAGATGTAGTAAAATGCTCGGTGGTGCCTCCTTTCCCTTCTTCAGCAACCACCCACCTTTCCCAGCCCAAGAAAAAAAAATGCACATGAAAAAAAAAAAAAAAAAAACACCTCAAACATTTGTCTGGTTAAAAAAATTAGTATCAAAAGAAATGGTAAGAGAGAATGTTACAAAGAGACAAGTTTCCGGACCTACGTGTAGGTTCTGAGCATCTAAACATAGGACTTTCGGTGGCTGTTTCCTTTTCTTCCCTGGGAACACTTGCCAGTAACTTACTTCTTAGTTCTTTGGTTCTGACATGGGGTTGGAACAAACCACAGAAGCTTCCATGTGAGCAGGTGTTCTGATAACAAATCTCAAGTACCAGTGAGACCCTCAAATAAACAAAGGCCGAGAAGCAATTGGATATACAGGACTGGGGGAGAAAAGGCAGATAAAAGAATCATCGCTGAGAGTCCCCTTATCACTAATCTACTTCAGCTTTCTCATTTTACAAACGTAGAAACCAAGATCCTGGGAAGTGGCAAGTTCGTAATCACAGACCTGCTTTTGGTAAAGCCAATACCTAAACCAAGGTACCGGTTCCATATCATTTACATCTCTCAAAGGGAATTTCCTAAGTCCAGGATTTTAGGGGAGGTTTGGTAAGAAACAAATGAGCTTACAAGAAAA